TTTCCCAAGCCTGAAGCAGTGCATGGGGCTGCTGTGACTCAAGTGCAGGACCCAGTACTTGGCCTTGTAGAACCTCATGCAGCTGACCTCAGCCCATTGATCCAGCCTGTCCAGGTCCCACTGAAAAACCTTCCTACCCTCAGGCAGACCAACACTCACACCCAACATAACACCATCTGCAGACTTATTGAGACTGCACTCAATTCCCTCATCCAGATCATAGGTGAAGAAGTTGAACAGAACTGGCCCCAACACTGAGCCCTAGGCAACAAATAGTGCTTGTAATTGGCTGCAACCTGGATCTGACCCTGTTTATCACAACTCTCTGGCACAGCAATCCAGCCAGTTTTTGACCCAGATAAGAGTACACGTGTCTAAGCCATGATCAGCCAGCTTCTCTAGGAGAATGCTGTGGGAGACAGTGTTAAAGGAAGACACCATGCACAACCTTTCCCTCACCTACTCTACTAATCATAGAATGAGTCTCTCTTGAGCTCAAGTTAAGGACTTGCAGTCTAAGATCAACCAAAAGATACTTTAGAACACTGGGATGGGTGGTGAGGGATTCTGGGGCACAGGTTATCTTTTTGTCTCTTCTTCCAGTTGCAGGCAATGACACAGGGATGAACAGGTGAATACAGTCTGTTAATAAGTAGCTTTGTAGCTGGTGTCATCACAACGAGTTTGGCTCTTTTGTCAGTGGGATGGGCTATACAGCACCAGGCTTGCTGGCCCTTCATAGAAAACATCTTTCTCAAAGGGGAAGAGGGTCTTTGAGCAAGAGATTGTGGGGCTGATTGATAGGGCTTTAAAGTAGGTTTGAAGGGGGACGGGGATGTAACAAGACATGTTAGTGAGGCCTCTGGGTGTAGTAGCCCAGCATCTGTGGGGCAATGTGCTAGCATGTTTGGAGAATCTGAAGGCCTACCACCCCTCAAAACTGAAAACTAAGTGCTCCACTCCCTCTCTGTAATGCTGATACACCAATGCAGCCAGTATGGGGAATAAGCACGAGGGACTGGAGATCTGCACAAGGATATGATATAATTGCAATTACTGAGATGTGGTGGGACAGCTCCCATGACTGGAATGTTGTTGCGGATGGCTAGGTATGCTTTAGGAAAGATAGACCAACAAGGTGACACGGTGGAGTTGCTCTTTATGTGTGAGAATGCATTGACTTCTACCTAGGAGTGGAGGAAGAACGTGTTGAAAGCTTGTGGGCAAGAATTAGATGACATATAAATGTGGGGGAGACTTGTGAGTGTCTGCTATAGACCAAACCATTAAGGTGTTGATGAGGCTTTCTACAGTCAACTGGAAGTAGCCTCTAGATCTAGAGCCTTAGTGCTTATAGGTGACTTCAGTCACACTGATATTTGTTAGAAAACCCAAACTACCAGGCATACTCAGTCCAGAAGACTCTTGCGGTGCATTGATGATAACTTCCTGGTGCAGGTAGTGGAAGAAACAATGAGGAGAGATTCACTGCTGGACCTTGTATTAATGAACAAAGAAGGTCTGATTGGGGATGTTAAGATGAAGGACAGCCTTGCCACAGCAATCATGACATGGTAGAGTTCAGTATTTTAAAAAGAAGAAGCAGGGCAATAAAAAGGATTGCAACCTTGGACTTCTGGAGGGCTAACTTTGTACTCTTCAAAGATCTACTTGCAGGAACCCCACAGGTTAAGACTCTAGAAGGTAGAGGGACCCAAGAGAGTTGGTTACTTTTAAAATATCACTTCCTCCAAGTTCAAGATGCCTCAAAGCTCAAGCTGTGTCCTTTCTTTGCAATTTCAGCACCTTCTGGCCAATTTCCATGTTGATGACATAACCCGT